ACTTTGCCCTATTTTTATTCTTCATTACCATATACACGGTTTTTTCAGTGTTCATACTAAGCTTATTAAAGCAGAGCCACTTATAGTATACCTAAATGCATATCACAGTTTATTTCCTTTTCAAGAATCTCTATGTCTCTGTCTGAGAACACAAGAACCGAGTCATCTGCAAACATAAAGTGCTTTGCCTTTAATCCAGCATACTTCAAGCTATGTACATAAAGTAGGCAGAGCAAGGGACCAAGCACTGACCCCTGCGCTACCCCCACATTCAAAACCACTACGTTGCTGTCACAATTGTTAACCGTTGTGTCGTGCTTCCTGCCAAGCGGGTACGTTTTTAATAAACTTTCACATAAGCCTCGAAATCCCATTTTATTAGTTTTTTTCAATAGCAGTTCGATATCAACAGTATCGAAGGCCTTCTGTAAGTCCACAAAAACAGCCACAACATATTTTTTTTGGTCTATCCCATTAAAGATGTTCTTCTTTTGAAAGCCATATTGTTGCTTATCAAATTGAAAATTCTTTTCTATGAATTTAATCATTCGTCTTTTGATAATCCTTTCTACTAATTTGGAGAAAATACTCAACAGTGATATTGGCCTGTAGTTGTTTAGATCTTCATACTTTCCACTCTTGTGTACAGGGATAATATTTGCTGTCTTTAGGTCCTCTGAAAAAATTCCTGTTTCTAATATACTATTTATCATCTTCACCAAACTATCTTCTATTATACACAAGTCCTTGGTTAAAATTTTGTCAACACCTGGCGAGCTGCTGTGTTTCAATTCTGCAATTGTCTTTGTGACCTCTTTTTTATCTGTAGACTCCAAGAAAATACTATTAATCGTTTCCTCCTCTATAAATGTTGTACATTGTGTCCTTTTTATCTTTGAAGCCAGTTTATCTCCTTTGGAAGCAAAGTGCCTATTAAATTGCTGTGCATCTGTTTCTTATTGTTTATTTTTTGTCCATCCTTCTCAATTTGATTTACCTGTGTATTACTTTTCTTCTTTTTTCTAGACAGTTCATTAATCACTCTCCAAGTTTTTTTGTAGTCACCATTTGCGCCCCTAAGAATAATTTCAGCATATTTCTTTTGCAATTGCTTTCGCATATCATTTATTTTATTCTTCATTGCTTTAAAATCTTTCTCTGTATATGCATTCCATCTAACGTAAAGGTCATCCCTTTTTTTCAATGCGCGTAAAAATTTCGGTGTGATCCATTCATTGCCAGATTTAATTTTGTTACATATTATTATATTTCCTAGAACACTGAGTTTTTGAGCTCACAATGATCTCAGCCATTTCTTGAAAGGTGTTTAGGTTCTTCTTCTCAAGTATTTTTTCTTCTACCATCTGTCTTCACCCGTTTTAACCTTTGTCATTTCTTCCTTTCTGCACTTATCTATCATTCTATTAACATTTAGTTTCACTATTTTATGATCTGAAATCATGTGTTCACACAGTTTTATTTGGCACTGTATATTATTATTTGCAATAACATGATCCAGTATTGTTCTACTTGTTGGTGTTGTCCGTGTAGCATTTTCAAGTGTAAGTTTATTCTTAATTTGAAAAGCATTTATTGTTATATTTTTATACTCGTTAACTGTATGGGAATCCAGTAGCAAATTTATGTTCATATCACCTATTATTATACAAGAGTTTTTTTCCCTTTACATTATTTTGTCCACTTCAGTAAGGAATGTAGGTACATTATACTCGGTGGTCTATATATACTCCATATTGTGCATTTAAATTTTGCCAGAGTTATTGACAGAAAATTTCATTCCTCTAGATTTACAAAGGATGTATCGTTCACTGTATAGTTTATATTATTTCTGACATAAATACTAGCCACCTTCTCTAGTATCCCTACAATTATGTACAGAAGAGTAGTTTTCAATATCATACAACTGAACTTCATTCCGATAAATCCATGTCTCTGTAAGAACCAGCAAATATATGTTCTTGCATGTTTGTTCCGCCAAAATTTCATTCAACTCTTCAATTTTATTTCTTAGGCTGCGTATATTGATATACAGCAAATTTAGGTTTTCTAATTTGGATTGTTCAGGCATATTTCTTGTAGTACTTTTTGTTGTTGCTTATTTTTTTTGATATTGCTTGTTTTTTTGTTATTCTTGTAGGTCGTCAAGGCATTTTATTCTCACCAGTCGGTCAGTATCGTTATGTTTCATGTATATTTTACCATTAATGCAATAGGTACTTTTAGGGTTATGATTTTTCCTAAATTCTCGTGCTTTTTTGTATAAAAACTGGTTATACTAGGATAAGTCCTCATTAAAGTATATATTATTTCTACCTTCTAAACCACATTCGTTTGTTTTTATGCCTTTTTTTTCTCTGACACACTTCAGAATTTTGTGTTTCACATAACGGAAACATAATCACTTTTTTGTTTAGGTATACCAACAACAACCAGATTTTTTCTCTTTTCCACCTGCTCCTGTACATTTAGCTTGGATTTAATGGCCTCCACACGCTTTTTTAATGCCACATTCTCTTCTTTGAGCTTCTTTATATCACCCAAGACTTCCTCAAATGCATCCGATATAAATTGCATTGAATCCTTAATTTGCTGTATGTCCCCTCGCATGGTTCTTTTAAATGGCTCCAGATATTCCTGGAATAAGGTTCTAACCAGTTTTGTAAGCTCGTCTTTATCCATTTCACACTTTTTTTAACTTCCAACCCCACATTTCAAACACAATTTGCAATTTAAGATTTTATTTTGACTGTTCGTTATTTTTGCTTGCTGCGCGCAAGTCGGGTGATAGTTAGACCCACAGGCCTCACATACCACTGATGTGGTCACTTTCTTGTTGCAGTGTTTACAGCATTACGTGATTCAACGACGTTCTTAACAGATCTTGTACATTTTGCAATTTGAAGGTGGTGTTATTTCTTGTTATTAATTCCTTCACCTGAGCCCACATTAGTTCAATCGGATTTCGTCATCATAGGCGATGACTTAAACCAATTCTGGAGCTGCACACTCTGGCACAGTCTTGACACACCCAGCCTCTGGCAACATTGTCTATTCCTTTTTTCTCTTGCTCCTTCCTGCAGCCCTTCTATTCGGTCTCGTGTCTGCGTGCAATAACACAGCCCTGTATAGTTATTTGAAAAGATTCTCCTCGTCCATCGTTGCTTAGGAATATTGCATCCATATTATCATGCTTCAAGATATCAATCTTGCATTGTCCATGACAATGACGGCACTTTTAGGAATTGAGGTTATCATTTCAGAAAAGTAGTCTTCAAAAACATCGGCCGTCATTTCTTCATGGTAATCGTAGGTTGAATTTGATTCGAATTCAAGCAAACCTCCATTTAAAAAGCATCTATCACTATCAATGTAAGTTATTATTAACCTGCGGCCCTTACAGGAAGGCAGTTAAAAGGCCATCCACAAATGCCTGGCGAGAATTGTGGACCTTGCCAGAATTTATTTACTGTGTGTCCTTCGTTAACCCACGTTTCGTCCAAGTAATAAATGTTTCTTTGTTCACCTCTGTACTTTCTAATATCTCTTAGATATGGTCTCCTCTAACAGAATATTTCTTCTTGGTCAATCAAAATCGATTCTCTGATCTGCTTCTCCCAACAAAAGTTGAACTCGTGTAATATTTTCTAGAATTTTTTTCGTCCGCCCTTATAACTGCTAATATTTTATCTATTTGAATAAAACGAATGTACTTTCCTTCATATTATAGTTCTAGGTAGTTCATCAAGTTCTAATGGTTTTCTTCCAGGCGATTTTTCAGGCAACTTTCCACAGATATCACGTTTTCTTTCGCTAAGAAGTTGTTGATTGACTGATCCCTTTCATATTGGCACATGTGCAGACTATACATCGGATAATACTTAAAGGCACCTGATGCACAAGTGCATCATGTATATTCAGTACCATATTCCTGGATTTCTAATTAAGAATGACCTTATATTTTACCGGATTAAACCCTGATGAGTAATGAGATTTTTACAGTAAATTTACAATGAAAACACACACTATACAGGGTATCCCACATAAAAGTAACTACTTACATGGGTATTTCGGAAACGGTGAGAGATACAATTTTGGTTAAATGGGGAAAAAGTTGCACTATTCCAATCCCAATCAGATGCTGCATCAAAACTGAAAATATCTACAGGGGTTTTCAAAATATCGAGCAAAAACTAAAAATTGTATTTTTCAAAAAATTGAAATATCGTCGCCATCTTGTAAACAAATTATTTAAAATTCGGTAGTTTTGTATTAACGACTACGGGCAATTCAATGACGTTAACAATTTTTTTCCAGGTTTTCTAGTTTTCTTTACAATCCCAGCCAACTTTGATATTTCTTATGGCCGCCATATTGTTTTTTTACGACATTGAATAGGGCATGAAAAGGGCTTTTTAACCATGTATAACAGGCCTATTTTTGGATGACGGAAAATTTAAATTCATTAAAAAAACAGTTTTCCACTTGAGCTGATTGTGAAACAAATGCCGTAATTGTGTTTGTTATCATAGCTTTGTAACTGTAGATATTGTCAATTTCGATACAGAATCTGACTGAGCTCGGAAAAGCGCTACTTTCTTCCCATTGAACCAAATTTGTATCTCTTACCGTTACCAAAATCCCCATGTAGTTATTTTTATCTGCACCTGCACCTGTATATGCATACACCACTTACAAGTACAAAATTCATACTGAATTGCCATCAGATAATAACCCAACATATAGTTACCTGGGCTGGAACTGGTAACGAATGGAGATATTTTTTTTCTCTATTGACGTCCCCTCTCCTTGATTTTGAAAACAGAGAAGAAGACAGCAAGTGCCATAGCGATAACGATCTCTATCCGTTACAGAGTCCCAGCCCTGGGTCTTGAGGCCGCTTTATGGTCTTCGACCCTTTTTTACCTTTCCCTGTGCTACTAATAAAAAGGAAACAGAATATAGATATACCAACTTCTTACCCAAGCTGTTTAACATGCATAATCTTTTGAAAATGAACTTCAACATCTTCAGCTCCAAATTGCTCCATCCAATAGTCCAGAACTTTCTCTTGGAAAGGGGTTGACAAAACCTGTATATCTTCCATTTTATCTGCACGGAACATGGTCTGGTGAAGTCTTTTGATGTAAGGAGGCTCACTTGCCAATCTCAAATATAGTTTGCGAGCTGCCGCTACACCTCTCGATTCAAGTGCCCAATCTAGGTATCTTGGCTTGAACAACCTGAAACACAAAGTATAGGTCATAATATGAATGCAATGAAGGTAATACTTTTAATATAGTAAAAGGTGTATTTTACTTTATTTTGCCTTCTGCCTTCTACTTGGAGGAAGAGGAGCTGCAATTATTTCAATGAAACCCAATACAAATAACTAAAAGTTCGTATTCCCCGAATATTTTCATGTACACTTTCCTATATGTAGAGACCTATAGGTTAGATTTAACAGCTGACACGATTTGTTTTAATGTCCCAAACAAAAGTCAAAAATAGGTGTATAAACTATAAATACTGTAAAACGGAAGCTGCAGACTATTTCGTCTGCTGTTTGAGATTCTGCATTTCATAAAAGTTGTGGAGTATAACATAGGATTATCAACAAAAACCACATTGTTGGTCAGCGCACAGAAAGCGAGGTTGAAATTTTGCAGGAAAACATGGATAAACAAACTACATATACTTAAGTGAATTTAAATAACTAATTTAAAAAGAACTTAGAGTGTTTGAAGTAAAAATATCGAAAAAATAATGATAATGAAACCAACCACATTAAGGCTAGTCATTTCAAGAGTTACTTAAATCACATATAGAAGTTATGGCCCAAAATAAAATGATACTGAAAATTAGAGTGCGGAAGAAGAATCTACAACATTACAAACTATAGAAAATACTACAAGCATTCCCTATTTTGGCAAGATACGCCTAATTTTTAGATTGACAGCCTTCTACTCCTCCTTAACACTCGGACTAGGGAACAGCCATAAATCAAAATTCATGCCCTTCAAAATTTGTGGTTCTCTAGGTTTAATTGCGCCAATAGACCAGTTATTTTCAAAACATGACAAAACGAGAGTTATGCGCGAGTAACGTGTTAGTCAACTATCTGTGACCTTTATTTCTTAAAAATTTTCCGATGGTTTTGGACATAACGTGCAGTAAAATTCAGATCAAAATTGGAAATTCTATGACCCGAAAAATTTAAGATGAGCCTTAACGGGTGGCAAAACAATATATTCATTTTCATCACATGAGCCACAAAATTTTTCCAGACATCCGTTTTATTTATATCGTCAGCAGCAGTGCTTATATTAGCTAGAACTGTAGGGCCTGGAGTTGGATTTTCGTTAAGTTGTCGCAAAAGTTGTTTAATTGCAGACAAATAAGTTCTATCGGATTTAATATACAATAATAGAGTGGCATAAACGAAGGATAGTTTGACCTCGAGTTTAAAGAAGTTCATGATTCTCAATAAAATATTCCTGCATAAAGTTTTGTTGTTTTATCAAATCCAATAAAAACAAAATAGTTGGTTTATTATTTGGGATTGCACCTGGTATCTTTCAACCTTACAATAACTTGAAAATGGCTCGCTGGATTTTTCTGTGCCAATGAAATTTTTTGTTTAGAATGTCCAGGAGCAGAGGCGGCGCGTGCCTTCAAAAAGTGGGGGGGCTAAAAAGCCCGCCGGAGGCGAAATTTTTTTTCAGGTGCCACGCCCAAAAACGATTACTTTGAGCGTTCGAAAAAAAAATTCTGTACTTCTGACATTTTATTTGACCTAGAAAATTTTTGGATTACTTATTTCCCTCAATAGTCAATTATTTGTAAAAAAGATAATCAAATTGGGAGACAAACTCTAAGTACTTGAAGAGGAAAAAAGAAAACTAAACTATAGTTGAACCAAATCCAGCTGGTAATCCAGCCTTCCTTTTGGTTGAAACGCCCTTCCAGAACCAGTGCGCACGCACGGAGGACATTTGATAGGTTGTAATGGAAATTACCTACCAGTTATGTCATTACTGCCGCTTGGGTTTGGTTCAACCATAGATACTAGAATAACAAACAGCCTTTTCAAGGAACAACGAACAAGAAATACGTCATTTTTATATTAGGAAACACAAGTCGATGTTTATTTTTTGTCGGCGACTCTGACTGTAGCTGGAATTAAGGAATTTTTGTTAATCTCCATTTTTTTTTTTGAAATTAGGAGAAAAAAATTTCATTTATTACAAAAAAAGTGCTCGAGCCCCCCACCGATAACCATTTTCTATAAGATTAGTGGGGTCCTTTGGTATAAGACAAAACATTGCTAATAGAATAAAGCTAAAATCCACAGAAGTACAAGACAGAATTTGAAAACTTACTGGACAATTTCTTGATCAGACTGGCTCATCACTTTTTGAAACAAAATATCTATATCCCTAGGTGGGAATCCAAGCTTGTGATAGGAATAATAAGCCTCCCATATTTTCACTGATTTTGGTCCCAAAGCATCAATTGCCTTTTCGAACACATATGCTGCCAAATTCCGGTCGTCTTGACAAATATAAAACTTCAAATATAAAGACCATAATAGTACTGATGATGGATGTTTCTTAGTACCTAAAAAAAAATAAAAAATGGTGATTTATTACAAGTCGTTACGTTTTACAAGTCGTTACATTTTAGAAGTCGTTACATTTTACAAGTCGTTACATTTTACAAGGCCCCAAGGGCGAGAAGTTTTTCATTTTTCCACCAGATAAAAAAAGGAAGCATTTGTGAGTAATATTTGGTGGGAGAATATTCTGACCAAATCTCCTAGATATGACATTTGTGCTCTAATAGATATTCCTACATATGATATAACTACTGAAAACTATCATATACCACAATAAAGATAAGATTCTTAAATAAAATAAATAAAATACAAGTTTCTTCCTCATATAAACCACAGGATAACATAAGCTGAGTGGACTTAGATAAGAGTTGGGATTAAGAACAGCCCAATAATAAGGATACAGATTTTAAAACAAAAAAGTTTTTAGTGGAAATCAAGTCGAAACAAAGATAAAATCAAATGTATACTGACAACTTTTTTTTTTAAATGATCTGGTACCACAGTTCATAGAAGCTAAGCTCAGTGCCGGACTGACCCAAGTGGGTGGCTATGAAAATCTGGAGAAAGTATGGTACCATGATATATGAACAAAAAATTATCGACAAGGTTTGAATAATTTAATGCAAATTTTTTGTTGAAGTGTTAAGGTTGCAAAATTTAATATTTGCATTAAATTCGAATAACACAAAAATGCTTTAACGTAATATACATATTCACATTGTACATAATAATTATTGTTTTCTTTGAAAAATAAACATAAGTGGTTATTAAACCATCTGTACCTGTAATGTATATTTTGACTTTTCTTATTGTCAGCCTTCTGTATAGTCAAAGTGTTGTACATTAGAGAACTTTACGAGAAACTTTATTATCATAAAGCAAATTTGCCCCCTGAGGAATAAGCAATATTGCTTCAAAACCATCGTTCAAACAATTTTGCAAAACAAGCATTTGCTTAACAATATGTCCAACCCGTGTAAGTAGTAGTTATTTTTTGCTGATATCATTTTCAATATAATTTTGGAGAGATTTTTGAAAGTGGTAGGAATATATTTGGATTTGCTGTTTGGTTTCTCTGATAATTATAAGGCATCCTTACAATATATTTGAAGAATATTGGATTAGATATAGTATATGTAAAGCGAATGATTGTTTTATAAAATTGTTCGAATGATGGTTTTGAAGCAATATTACTGCTATTCCTCAGTGGGTAAATTTGCTTGATGGTATTAAAGTTTCTCGTAATGCTCTTTGATATACAGCCCTTTGACTATACAGAAGGCATGAGGCTAACAAGGAAAGTCAAAATACATTCCAGGTTACCTCGATAATTACTAGAGATGTGTTTATTTTTTAAATAAAAGATTAATTATGTAAAATGTTAAAATGTACAGTCGCGGGCATTGAAAGTGGGACACCCGATTTTCCTATTGTAAAATGAGCTCACCAGTTATACCTACGGCAATGACAGGGATTGTCATATTTGACAAAAAATCCATTGTAGGGAAAAAACTGCTTTACCCTAAATAGCGAAAAATGGACACCTGTCAGTCAGGTGTCCCACTATTCATGTTCACGACTGTATATTACCTGGTAGCATTTTTGTTTTATTCGAATTTAATACATTCTTGTTTCTATTTGCCGAGCATACGTGTGTACAAGAAAAATGAGGCTGGGGATCCCCAAGCATTAGCTAACCACTTTGGAAGGTTTTTTGCGAGTGTTTAAGTGGCCCTCAAAATTTCCATTACAAAAAGTCAATGGACCTGAGTTATCTTGAAATTCAGCCAGTTGATGTTTTCGATTCTATATCCAGGTTGAATATTAAACTAGCCCTGATAGTATTCCGGCTGTCCTTATTAAGAACTGTCAGTGTACCCTTCCAACAAATTAGTTAGGTATATAGGTATTTTTTTTTATTATTGTTGTATTGTCAGTTTAGTTAGTCAGTCAGTCAGTCAGTCAGTCAGTCAAAATTTTATTATAATCATTCTGATTATATATTCTGTAATTTTTCATTCAAGCAAAGTATTTTCTGAAGTGTTGACGTTTCCATTATAAATAAATAGTTCCAATAAGATCAAATGTAGAAAACCATCGAGGCATTTCGAAGTTCTTCCTGTTTAGTAAGTTTTTTGAAAATATGTATTATTTACCAAAAAGTAAGCTCAACAGTTATTTCCACCTTCCCAACACGGATTCGTCTCGGATCGTTCAACCATAACAAATTTGCTGGTTCATGAGCAGCATCTGTTGGAAGCCTTGGAGAGGTGATGCCAGGTGGATGCTATTTACACCGACTAAGGCTTTTGACAAAGTGAATCATCTGCTGCTTAATAACAAACTACTGGCATTGGAAGTTCATGGTGTTTTCCTCACATGGATTGACAGTTACTTGTCCAACCGTATACAGAGAGTAGAAATAAATAATGTTGAGTCATCTGACATTATTGTAACATCGGGAGTGCCCACCTTGCCCCTATTCTTGTCAAATGTTAAATCCATGATATTGATGACGTTATCACTAAGAGTGAATGCTAGCTGTACGCAGATGAATTAAAAATATACAGGGTTGTACAAGACAGGAGTGACTGTGAGGCAATTCATTCAAGTAAGGAGGATTTGCAGAATCTTGCTAGGTGGTGCAAATCAAACTGCATGCACCTCAACATCTCAAAATGTAGATGACTCTCTGCGGTCTCCGGAGTCAGTCAGTCAAATAAAACAACTATTATGTCAGGTCTATTGTGTTCAACTGTTCTATCCGTAAGTGGGGTTTGATGCCAGTATTATTATTATTATTATTATTATAATAAAGGGTGTTCCTAAATATCATGTACAAACGGAAGGGGATGATTGGTGATTCTTTGGTTTTTTTCATAACTGAAATTTCAAGTAAACATAGATTCGCAAACGCTTCCCGACCTATCTACAGGGTGTTGATATTTCAATATTTTTTTAGTTTTTTCTTTATAGCTCCTGCAATTTTTGAGGGAATTAGCTCAAATTTGGAATATAGGTTACGCAATAGGAGCAAATGATAAGAGGCGAAAAACCCGCAGGTCCGAAAGGTATTACAATTGCATGTTTCAAAAAGAGTGGAAAGTTGTCAGAGTGAAAAGAAGTGTTGGCACCAGCAAGGGCATTAACAACAAGAGGGGTTAGGGAAGAAAATATCTTGACATATGATCATGCCAGCTAGTTTTTTTGTTTTTATTGGCTCAAAAAAGAAAGAGTCCGGCACAGACATGTGTTGGAGATATTGCACAGGTTCGCCCCTGTGCTCAACCCCATTGGACAGACACTGCACTATTGAACAGTAATACGTGTTAATGTCATCTGCTGCCATGTTTGTAGTTTTGATTGTTTTGCTTCGGGCAGGGCCGAGCAGGTCGTTAATGATCTTCCAGGTTTCCCTATGCTTTTTGACAGAATTATTTTGTCTAAGAGATAGTCAAAATTACTAGTTTTCAAAATGTTCCTTCAAAAACTAATCGTACGATTTAAGATTTTGCTATAAGAATATAAAGGGAGATCAACGAGCTATCCAACGTTGTGCAATACAAGGTAGGTGCGTATTTAAAAAAAAAAATAAGTTAGGGTACCTACCCCCTAAGGGGTGAAGCGGGGTGAATTAAAAAGTGCCCCATTTTGGTCCCCTTTCCGTCCCCCGATACGCATTTGAGATCTTCCTGATAGTATTTTTTGTCTAAGAGACATTCTCGATTGCTTTGTCACCCTGTACATTAGTCAAATCAAAAAATAAAATAAAAACACTTGCAGAGACAGCTCATCATTATAAGTCGGGCCGAAGGAAAATAATTTTTAAACATTTTATTTTAAATTGGAAGAGTATAACCAAGAAGATAATAAAAGACTGAAGCTGGAAATCTAAATACAGAGACACATAACATAACCGACAAAAACGAGTCATGGAAAAATAGTTCTTGCCAAATTAGACTGGGGATTGGATTGATGTAAGTAATGGACGCAACCGAGCCAGCCACCTACTAAATACCTCAGCAAAACATGTATTAAAATTTTAGTATGCTTACAATACTGATACTTATTGAATTTAGTTGCGTTAATAATAACAACCTAATATTGTACACCAACTTTGTGATTATTATATTGTATAATTTCAATGGGCTGAAGGACTTGGGTGGACGGTTTTTTCAGAGGCTGATGTTTGGTCACATATTTGCTTGTTAGGTATATACAGGGTGTTCCGAAATTAATGCACCAAATTTTTATGGCGTATTCTACGTCGAAAATAAGCCCTAGTTTCCTTTATAAGCATATGTTCGGAAACGCTTCCTTTCCGAGATACAGCTTGTTGAAACTCTAAGAAAAAAACTATTTTTTTATCATAATTTTCAAACCACTCTAGATTTTTATTGAAATTTTGTACACTGCTTCAAGCAGCAAAATACATACATTTTTTGATGTGAAATATTAAAAAAAAAACAGTGGCGCACTATTTTTTTCTTAAAAAGATTCCATACAAATCTGGGTCACTGGTAATTTTTAAAAAACATAATTTCACATCAAAAAATGTTATTTGCTGCTTGAAAGCAGTGTACAAAATTTCAATGAAATATCTAGAGTGGACATATGTTTATATAGGAAACTAGGGCTTATTTTTGACGAAGAATATGCCATAAAAATTTGGTGCAATAATTTCGGAACTATTGCTGAAAAATAACCCAATAAACAATTTTCGTTACGTATGGTAACGCCTAATTATAAAAGGGTATATAAGAGGAATGAATAGTGCTTTTAGTATATAAGAGTTTTATAATATCCCCCAACCTCTAGGTATATAACTAGGTGACATAAATATTTCAACTACCAAGTTATAAAACCTAGAGTAACTATTACTAATAGGTATATAATAAAGTTTTATACATTTTGCGGTTACCTTTTTATATAACTTTACATTCCCTAGTTATAAAATGGTGATAATTTTTGCCTTTATAAAAATAGAAGTAATTGACGAGTCTTTCATAATTTTTTGTTGCTTCTGGATATGTGAGGATGCTTTATATAATTCACAGGGGGTATAATAATAAACAAATTGGGTGAGTGAAATAAATACCAGCGGCCAGCAGCATTACCAAACATCACATCAAGCCAAACAGAAACAATAAACCTGTGCAGTGAACTGAAAAAAGTGAGGTTATTGTTGTCATTTTATGTTGATGCCGGTGCCTCACTGCGGGTATTTTGCGTAATCGTTCAACCCTTATTTACGAATTATGATTGGTCAGAACTCAGAAATGTGGATAAAGCTGTCACGTACCACTTTTAGACCAATTATGTCGGGTGACGCGATTGGGCGAAATACGTCAGGGGAAACTGGGAAACCTGCATGGGCGACGTGTAATGATGGTTGCTAACTTATAAGTTATAGTACCTGGGATAATTTTTGTTACCATTATAAACTTTAAAGTTTTATAAGAACCTTTTATAAAATCAAAAGAAGCTATATAGGGTACCATAATTTATGTGAAGTTCCTTTAGGTAATATAAAGGTAATTAATTTTTCAAATTAAACTAGTCTTCATTCTGCCATATTTAATTTGCAAAAAAAATAGACGCTGTTTCACAGGTCAACGTGAAATTCAAAAATTTAGGGCAATTAGCTAACAATTTGTGATAAATATGCATAAGAACCTCATATAATTAAATAAGCAATTTTTTTCCCAAGAACTTGTCACTTAAATATTAATATTTTTTCAAAATTTTATTTTTATATTTATGGCAATACAATCAAATATGGATCTTTCAAAAGGCGCTCGCATTTTTTGAAGGTATAACATGTATATTTATCAGTAAAAATCGCTTGGCAATGAAAATTCGGACCAGGATCAATGGTTTAACAACACTATTTTTATGTGAATGTGAAACAAGTACTCATCTAGCAGAAGCCATTGGTGCAACATAGGACTTGTCCTTGTGCATTTATTTATCCCTTCATGAGACGGAGGCGCTGGAGGCATCATCATCAAACAAACATAGACATACCAAAAATAATTAAATAGACAAAGACAAAAAGAAACTTGTTACTCCAGGTGTCAACATCATTTAATTTATATTTTTATAAAGGGTTTATAAAGTTTCTGGAAATATTTAAATAAATACTTCTATAAATCTTACAGTTATATTACGTTACTAACACAGGTGTTGGTAACCTTTATAAACTCCGCCATTTAAGTGTTTTAAGGCTTTTATAAGGGTGATGTAAATGTTTCCCACATATTATTATTGAACTATAGGTTATTTAAAGTGGGTGTTGAAAAATATACGATTACCAATATATAACTAAAAATGTTTATTGGGAAGTTCTTGTCAGCAAGTTTTGCCTGTGGTTTTGCTCACTGAAAACGATTTAGCATATTCTAGTTAAACAGGGGGGCTTTATTTGAAATCGATCGCAAATATTTGCGTGCACGTAAAGTTGCATCAATTTGTTCGTATACGCAACTTGTTATGTGCGAATAGCTTTATTTGAAATTGACATTGGACGTGTGCATCTCTACTTGCGTGCACGCAAAAGATGCACTCGCTCGCTGCGCAAAAGATGCACTCGCTCGCCAGTTTTCTTTTCACAAAATGTTGAAAATCTACCATATAAAAATGAGTGGATTTTTGAATTTTAGGATATTTTGGCTGACGGTGACGTATATTTTACGATGACATTTATTTATTATGATATTTTTGATGTTTTGAGGTTAGAATTTTCTAAAATATGTTTCGTTTTTATAAGCAATTTACCACAAAAAATGAATATTATTTCACCAAGCCCTATTCCTGTAGATAGAAAGAAGAGCTCCGCAAACGCAGATGCGGAGGAAAAAAGGATTCTTGTCCAGTTTGTCAGAGAACGCCCCAACCTTTACCAAAAAGTCGAGTAAAAAAATGTTGCAAAAGCCTTAGCGGTATTATACGGTGCTCGGTGGAAGATGCTTTTCTTGGCGCCACTAAATAGCCCCGTAAAGCCTCATATAAGTCTTCAAAAGTAGCTTTATTTAGCCGATTTTTTTTTTACGAAAGTCCGGTCACTTAGAACGAAGACATAAAATCGCGGCCTTACTGCGAGGTTTTTGTTAAAAGCCTTCGCTAGTTCAAGACGAGCCAGCCCATTGTTGTTAATAACGTTATTAAATCATATATTATTTATAAAAATCACCACAATATTCGAACTTATTTGAAGTGAACCATCAAAATTAAAATAAATCGAAATAAATTGACAAATTGACAACACAACTTGCGTGTGCGAGCTAGATTTGCGATCGGTACACCCCCATGCGCAAAAGTTGCGAGTGGTGCAAAGTCATATCGCTCGCAGTGCATTTCAAATAAGCCGTGCACCAGTTTTCAATCGCAAATAACGTCATTTGCGTATACGCAAAGTTGCATCAATTTCAAATAAAGCCCCCCAGTTGGTGAAAAATTGCATAGCTAGGCGTCGCCAAAAGATTAAATTTTGACAAGAGGGGCATTATCAATTACAATCTGCAATGGAAGATATTTGTGTCAATAAAGGTAGTGATTACCTTACCTTCTTCCATTTTTTCTATTAGAGTCACCACATTATTTAAACCGCATTCAAACCATGCTACATAGTGTGCTTCCTGAAGGGGAATTTCTGCCCTAGTAGCCGCTTCTAAACCATCTTGAAGTAAGCTGAGCTAAAACAAATCATAAAAATTGCAAGCTTTGAAAAATAGGTATAATAATAATAATAATGATAATAATAATAATAATAATAATAATAATAATAATAATAAAAGAACTTCATTTATACTGCACACATTACAGGTACACAAGATATCCAATAAAAAACATGCACAGTTTTAAAAAAAAGATAAATGTATAAAACATGGATATAAAAGTAAATACATGAGAATAAACAAAACTACAAAAGGTTGAAAAAATAGTTAAATGACTGTTTTTTTGTACAGGTAAGAAAATCTATATCACTATCTCTAGCAACATCATTCACTCTTCATAAGCACCTCTTTATTGGTGATGGGGAGGAGGTTAGGGAGGAGGTAGTCAAAATTTTAAATATATTATTTCTTAGTCTTAATCTAGGGTCAGGTACATCATAGCTTATATATTGTAATATATCAGGTACAGTTATATTCTTTCTCCGTATGTTGAAAATAAATAAAATGTCAGTAAAGATCCTTCTCTTTTCCAAACCTTTATAACTTCTAACTCCTCCAGTTGTGAGTTATATGATACTAGGTGTGGGTAACCTGGATAATATCCTTGCCGCTTAAAATAAATAAACATCGCTTCTGAATTCGCTCTAATGATTCGGAATGACACGCTGTGCTAGGATTCCATATGATACTACCGTATTCTATTTTGGATCATACAAGGAAATTAAACAAGATAAGAATCACATTAGAGTTGTGAAAGTTGTTACATGTCCGTAGGACAAATCCAAGTTTCCTCATATCTTCTACATATAGCTTTTCTATGTGCTGATTAAAATTGAAATTCTTTGTAAAACATATACCTAAAACTACTATTCCTCCTAACCCAGGAAAGAGAGGTTGAGCCTCGCAAACTCGACACAAGTTCTGTTTTTTTTTTCTGGTAGGACAAGGACTGCTTATTGTGGGTCTAACTTCAAATCATCTGCATATAAGAGAAATTGCGAGTTCTTGATATAAATAAATATGTCGTTAATAAAAAGGTTAAAGAGAAAAGGACCCAGTATTGAACCTTGAGGTACTCCAGAAGTTGCCAGATAACCACCAGAAAGCGCATTATTAAACTTTACGACCTGATGTCTATCACTAATATAAGAACTTAGATATTGTACAAGATTGGAGTCAAAAGATAGTTTTGAAAGTTTACTAATGAGATAATACTTGCTGTCCACCAACAAATTAATTGTGATGATATGAAACTAGAATGGACAGGGAACAGGGGCCTAGAACAGATCCTAGGGTAACACTCATCAAGCCAGAAACTGCAACAGCATTCTGAGAATACTATTTATTAAGCCCTGAAGTGGGGGGGCAGGTTTGGGATCTTTGGAGAAAAAATTTGGTTGACAAAATATGGAAGAAATGGACTTACAGGAATAAGCTGCGATGGAAATGTTGGTTGGGCCGTGATTAAATTGTTAGATATTTGGCTATCAAATCCTGGGTTAAAATGTGTGTTTCTGAATTATGTGTTTGCTTTATTGTGTTGTATGGGTTTCTATGTACAGTCATGAGCACAAAAAGTGGGACACACGTTTTTTCCTATTGTAAAACGGGCGCAACAGCTATACCTACGGCAATGACAGGGATTGTCATATTTGACAAAAAATCCATTGTAGAGAAAAGACTGATTTACCCAAAATAGCGAAAAATGACAAGACCTGTCAGTCGGGTGTCCCACTTTTTGTGCTCACAACTGTACCTGTGTTGTTCAGAAAATATTGAGTGTTATGTTCATCGGTAACAAATTGTAGAGTAAATGTTTGTATAAATTATACATTCCAGCTATTTTGCAGCGTCATTTATTTTATGTTTCATGGATATTCACCTAGGAACACAATATATTTAAAATATGTTAAATGTGATCATAAAATTAGCTAGGTTTATCACCATTTTGTTGTCTAAGCAATACGTTTTAAACAAGCTTCGTCGCGTTAGTCTGCAAAATGCCTGCTTAAAATAGGTTTAAGTTGGTCCCATTTGGGTTCCTCAAACTAATTTTGCGGTACCGATCAATATACCGATTAGCGTTTAGCAAGTAAATGTTCTGGAAACTATCTGGTTGAGCAACGCTATAAAGAGCATCAATTACGCTTTGACATACTGATAAATATCTATTCAAATCTTTCGAATTTATGTCAAATTGTAGTACACAGCTAAGGTACCCTGGCTTAAAAAGCTATGCCATATTTTCAGAGTTTGAATTTGAAACAATGCAAATGTTTTGATTATTAGGGAATGTGCTTTAAGCACTATTACTTCAGAAAATGTTTGATTATCTATTTTGATTAAATCTTCTGAATCAGATGAGTCAGTTGAAGGCGGTAGTGATACATTATTCAATTTCTTATATCATCAACGTCAGACGTAAGCTCGGACGTAAGATAAATTGCACAGACTAGCCGAGTTCGGTATTGCATCCAAGATGCGACAGAAATTTGGTCACGTGATCACAGATTAATCTGAGCAAATTGCAATCAACTAATTTGAATTGGACGTCCGGCAATGGAGTGAGAAACTCGATTCCGGGCATTTTTGCAGAAAAACTCCTGATTAGATATTAAAAAGTTAGTTTTTGTTTTTTGTACCAAAAATAAACTTTACATTGACACTACGATACTACAACATAACCTCGCAAAATCGCAGATTAATCCGATTATCCATCCGACTGGTCTGAGCGGAATTACCGAACGGTTTAGATTTGCCTCCCCTACATTTAGATACGATAAACAAACGATTCAAATCAAAACGATTGATCAGACGTGAATAACGAACGCAGCAAGAATAAGAAAAATTTTATTGCTCCAGAGGTTTGGTTGACGATATGGTCCATCCAAATGGTGATTGTTCCTTGCGAAAATTGGACAGTTTGAATCCAAACACCCATTACTCCGAGGTAGCAGGTTCACGCTGAACTGGGCGTTTCGATATCTAGAAAGCCACTCTGACATCTCACAGTCAACAATTAACGTAGGTCCGTTTTTTTCCGGTTAGTCCGAAACTTGAAGAATCAAGAATCAGTCCCGAAAAAAACAAGTTCTGATCGACTGCGCCAGTAAACAAGTCAGAAACCGAAGGTTGGTTTATCAATCAATATTAATTATTTTCAACTGACTAACTATCCTAGGTAAATACAATAATGCGTTTTTTGCTGTAAAGCAGAATAAGCATTTTAATAGAGGACGTGATATAACTAGTGCGTCAATTGTATTTTCTTCAAGAACGTGTAAGTAGGTAACAAATATATACTTCAACTAATGGAAAAAAATAATTGCTGTCGCTTCCGCGTTTAATAGCTTTTATAAGGGCCCTTAAAGAGCAATATCAAATGGACTTTAACGGGGTAAACAAGTTTATTACTGTCTACTGTCTGGAACATTTGAAAAGAAACGGTTTATTAGACATTCTCGGGAAAGCGTTAATATTTTTGATTAAACATTTCAGGGATTCTTTACAGAGAAACGATTTTTCAAGAAAATAAAAATAGTCATTATATTGTTGCAGGCCATGCCGTCGCCAGGGCCACAATTGCATCTTATTTTGCTGCTTCTTATTTTGGCTGTACTTGGACCACCTGGAATACTGGCAGAGGGAAATGTTGGTGAGTGATATTTATTGCAGATATTGTCACAACTGCCCGCTTTACGGGGGTGACATGGGGGGTTTGTAGCTTTGGGGGTTGATGGACAGAAACTCGCTCAGGTTATATAAAAATATAGATATCTATTTTCCCAAATATAACCTTACATGTACGCTAACCCTATAAGATACATGACCCTTCGTACACTGGGGTCCTTATAGGGGGCCAAACGTCAATGCTGCTTGGGGGACTGTAGGTTAGTTTATCGTCACCCTTATGCCTTGTCCAGAGGGGCGTTCCCAACGAGAGGTAATTGCACTGGACAACGATAAGGCTGAAGATACCCAGAGGGGCGTTCCCAACGAGAGGTACTTGCACTGGGGAGACTTAATTCCAGAGGGGCTTTCCCAACGAGAGGTACTTGCACTGGTTTAAGTCTGCCTTTGCTGCGGCTTGCAGCGCAATTTATATCAATTTATTGCTGAATTGCAATAAACATCCGACCGAATCGGCAATTAAATTAATAAGGTTGAATACCGGGTCCTCCTTTCCTAAGCAGCTAGTTGACATACATATTTTTTTATGAGGCCCTATAAATGTATGTAATTTAGGGCCGGTTTATTCATCTTCAGATAAACTTACTGATATCTGTCTACAAGACAAATTCACCGTTCTAGAACCCTATTGGTCGGCGGGATGACTGGCCAACCAATTTATTATTATAGATTGTGTTTTTAGTTAGTAATAGTTTTATCCAAATTACAGTAGCTAGGTAACACTTTAAACCTGATAAAAATGTACCTCATAATATGTATCAGTACTTCCAACATACGTGATCCTAAACTTTGCAATTTTAGGTTGCCTATTTAGCGAACGTATCTGTCTAGAAAACGGTGCCATGACGGTAAGATTTTTTTTATTAAATAATTTGTACCTACTCAACCTAATTAGTGATTGATATTGCTCTTCAATGAATACTTTTTAATTCAAAAGCAAGCCGCTATCACCAAATGCATCACGTCTATTTGGCATCATGTACACAGGATTTTAGAGCGCCTCTCGCCAGCTATAACTTTGCAACATTAATCTGCACTTTATCCAAGTTGTGAATTTTCGAATTAATAACTCAACTATTGTTGTACCTACCAGTTGCTGGAGCTAAAGATCTAGATAAAGAGATTTTCCCCATTTCAGATCTTGCGTTTGGACAATGCCTACCAACTGAGGGATTTTTTGATGTTGAAAGCCTTCACAGGTAATCAAATAATCTGGTCTTAGAACAAACATTTATTGAAAAAGTAGAAGATATGTTTTTTTAATTATGACATATTTTTTAGGATAATAAACTAATGTTAACTATAAGTTTGCGACCCATCTAATGTTC